ACTAAAACACAGGGGTATTTTAGAAGACATTATATATGGGAGTCTCTATGGTTAAACTGGGAGGAGACTAAAAGGCAATGTTATTTGAAAATTCCAGTCTGGTTATCAACTATTGAAGCATTTTCTTATAATATATAAAAAGGAACGAACAGTTAGATATAGTGAAATATTGAATGAAAAGGGTGAATTTAAATCTATGCAAAAATTAGAGGAACAAGGTATAAAGATGAATTGGTTTCATATGCGCAAATACATTCAAGGTATGATAAAGATTCTAAAACAGAAGGTTTCTATGATAAACTGACTGATTTAGATAAGATTTTGACAGGTACTGATGAAAAGGTGATTAAAAAATTGTATGGATATTTATTAGAAATTAAACTAGAAGAAGAACAAGTTAAAGAAACAATGATTGCTTGGGGGAAGAATTTTGGATATGGGATTGATCTAGAGAAATGGCAAAAAATGTGGTCTCAAAATTATAAAATGATAATGTCAACAGCATATAAAGAAAATTTGTATAAGATGTTTTACAGGTGGCATTTCCCCCTGACAAGAATAGCAAGAATGTTCAAGAACAAATCTGAAAAATGTTGGAAATGTCATTAGATACCTGGCTCATATTACCATATGTGGTGGATTTGTGCGGATGCCAAAAAATATTGGACTAAAATCCACACGTGGTTGGAAAAAATGACAAAAAAGCATATAGACTTGAGAATTTTCCCTGAAATATATAATAAAGAATTGAAATACCTGATTGTAAATGTACACTGCTCAAAAAAATAAAGGGAACACAAAAATAAGACATCCTAGATCTGAATGAATGAAATATTCTCATTAAATACTTCGTTCATTACATAGTTGAATGTGCTGACAACAAAATCACACAAAAAATATCAATGGAAATCAAATTTAGCAACTCATGGAGGTCTGGATTTGGAGTTACACACAAAATTACAGTGAAAAAAACACTACAGGCTGATCCAACTTTGATGTAATGTCCTTAAAACAAGTCAAAATGAGGCTCAGTAGTGTGTGTGGCCTCCACATGCCTGTATGACCTCCCTACAATGCCTGGGCATGCTCCTGATGAGGTAGCGGATGGTCTCCTGAGGGATCTCCTCCCACACCTGGACTAAAGCATCCCCCAACTCCTGGATGGTCTGTGGTGCAATGTGGCGTTGGTGGATGGAGTGAGACATGATGTCCCAGATGTGCTCAATTGGATTCAGGTCTGGGGAACGGGCGGGCCAGTCCATAGCATCAATGCCTTCATCATGCAGGAACTGCTGACACACTCCAGCCACATGAGGTCTAGCATTGTCATGCATTAGGAGGAACCCAGGGCCAACAGCACCAGCATATGATCTCACAAGGGTCTGAGGATCTCATCTTGGTACCTAATGGCAGTCAGGCTACCTCTGGCGAGCACATGGAGGGCTGTGTGAACCCCTAAAGAAATGCCACCCCACACCATTACTGATCCATTGCCAAATCGGTCATGCTGGAGGATGTTGCAGGCAGCAGAATGTTCTCCACAGGTCTCCAGACCCTGTCACGTCTGTCACATGTGCTCAGTGTGAACCTGCTTTCATCTGTGAAGAGTACAGGGCTCCAGTGGTGAATTTGCCAATCTTGGTGTTCTCTGGCAAATGCCAAATGTCTTGCACGGTGTTGGGCTGTAAGCACAACCCCCACCTGTGGACGTCGGGCCCTCATACCACCCTCATGGAGTCTGTTGCTGACCATATGAGCAACCACATACACATTTTTGGCTCGCTGGAGGTTATATTGCAGTGCTCTGGTGGTGCTCCTCCTGTCCCTCCTTGCACAAAGGCGGAGGTAGCGGTCCTGATGCTGGGTTGTTGCCCTCCTACGGCTTCTTCCACGTCTCCTGATGTACTGGCCTGTCTCCTGGTAGTGCCTCCATGCTCTGGACACTACGCTGACAGACACAGCAAACCTTCTTGCCACAGCTCGCATTGATGTGCCATCCTGGATGAGCTGCACTACATGAGCCACTTTTGTGGGTTGTAGACTCCATCTCATGCTACCACTAGAGTGAAAGCACTGCCAGCATTCAAAAGTGACCAAACCATCAGCCAGAAAGCATAGGAACTGAGAAGTGGTCTGTGGTCACCACCTGCAGAACCACTCCTTAATGGGGATGTCTTGCTAACTGCCTATGCTTTCCACCTGTTGTCTATTCTATTTGCACAACAGCATGTGAAATTGATTGTCAATCAGTGTTGCTACCTAAGTGGACAGTTCGATTTCAGAGAAGTGTGATTGACTTGGAGTTATATTGTGTTGTTAAAGTGTTCCCTTTATTTTTTTGAGCAGTGTATTAACAGCGGCTAAAATTGTATTTGCCAAAAATTGGAAAAATGAGAAAATACCATTACAGAAGGAAATCTTTAAAAAATATTGGAATGTGCTGAAATGAGTAGATTGACATTTGAAATCAGAGAACAAGATGATAAACAATTTTATAAAATATGGGATCTATTCTATCAATGGTTAGACAATAAAACATGGTAATGAAATATGTAGATTCTTAGAAAATAATAAATATATTAAGATGTATTCTTTTCTTATTACATCTACAAAATGATTGTAGGATAGATTTGACATGATAATATGAACTGTCATAAAGCAAATTAAGTAAAATATGAATTATTTCGTAAAACATGAATGAATAAAAGTATAGTCAAATGATTGATTAACAATGATATTAATGTATTTAATATTTGATTGAAAATATGATAATGTATACAATGTAATTGTAATTGAAGACTACAAAATGGAAGCACAAAACAATTTGTAAACCAACCGACACACTGTATGTACATATATATATATATATATATATATATATATATATATATGGAAGATGGCTTTATGGTTTTATGTTTTGTTTGTCTATGTTTGTCTTAAAAACCAATAAAAAATTTTTTAAAAAACCATTGTAATTAATAGTAAATATTTAAGTTCAGTCCTTCACATCTCCAGTTAGCCAAACTCAGATAGGATTAAAAATGATATTTTTCTGCCAGAGACACTAGAAAGGTGCTACCAGTTAGAAAAGTCTAGCAACGAAAAACCTACTGCCCTTGTCACCTTGTACAAAGTCCACTAAACCTTAGGCCTATATTGCCAGGGCTGAAAAGATCATACCTTGGGAAAGGAAGGAAGAATATTCTGTATGCTCTAAGATCCTCCTTTTGTCCTCATTCTTTAATTGGAAGACATAGCCTTAAAATGAAATATTGTTCAACTTTTTGAGTACATACATATTATTTTTTTACTAGCTTTCACTGTGATGTAACACTTCCTTAATAGGTGCTAGTGCAAATTATCAAGCTCCACACTGTAACCTTTATTTGCTGATTAGTACCTTCCAGGCTTCATGGACTGCTGCTTTAAATTGACAAGTCCTTAATCAATTACAAACCAGCTCTACTCTAGCACATTCCTGGGATTAATAAACTAATCCATCCCATAATGAAAAAAATGCTTTCACATATATACAGGCCTAAGTTTGTTTGTTTGATTGATTTGATGTATTTATTTGCAATTTTTCACTGTAATTTTTGTCACAGATGCAAAGGAAGCTAACAGTGTGGCCTCTTTCCCCCCTACCTGCCCTCATTTCCAATTCTCCATTGGTAACCCTATGCTTAGTACATGTTAGGTCAATATTCAGTTCTCAAACACCCTGAACCACAAATTATTCCATCTCAGATTAATGATCTAAGTCTATGCATATTATATTCATTCAGATAAGACAAGCGTCAATTGCTTCACTTCTCATGAGTTTGTAGGAGGAAGTGAAGAACATAGGGTGACAATTAGTGTGAGTTCTTTTATACCCATCCCACTCAGTAGTAGCTCCATCTAGGTGACACCTAAAAGACATAAGCTCCTAGAAAATATGGCCTCCAGCATTAAAAAGATTACACCACAACTAAATAGATAATGAGTTAGATGGACTTGTGTTCTGCTTGATTATAAAGCAGCTTTATGTGTATATTAATATATCGTTTTACCCAAAACACACTTTGGGATCTTTTTTAACAATAAGGAACACATTTTCTCAGAAAAAGCAATATAGTAGTAGCTATATTGGCCATGAAAGGAAAGAAAACAAAACAAAATTCCACAGAGGCAATATCATGATTAGGAGTATGTATTTTCTACTAATGAGGCCTCACATACTGGTTAGGGTAACCAAGCTACAATGAAGAGTGGTTTTAAAATAACTATTTTTCTAATTTCAGAGTTGCCTCTAAATCCCTCTTATAGTATAGAAAAATAGCAGTCGATGCCTATTTAATAAAGCATTTCAAATTATCCTTTTGCCCATATCAGTACTGAAAAACAAATTGTGAAAATTAAACCTTTGACAAGGCAATATGCTAGAGTAATCTTACTAGTTTTTGTTTCCATTTTAATTAGTTCTATATAAACAGTTATTGTTTCACATTATAGCAACTATAATACAGAGAATATCTCTGAAAACAAAAACTTAACCTCCAGGAAGAGCAAGAGCCAGAAGGAGATTTATATTGCTTGTTCCTAAAAATATTTCCCGGAAATTTGTAACATTAGATACCCATAAAGCCATATTCCATACCATATTTGAAAAAAAACAAGGTGAGGGCAGAAAAATAACAAATTTGCCTCAACTATATAACAGTAATACAGACTTCTGTATCAGGCTTTTAGTGTATGCTGTCTTTTTTCATTCACATTAGAATTTCCCATTTGTAACCTTCCTATTTTTAGCCCATTACTTCTAATGATATGTTGCTTCTTCACAGAGAGACATTCATCTGGAAGCACAACAAACCAGTAACAATCAGACATTTATCATACTGTAAATTTCAGATATTTACTATAGAAAATGCATGAGTATTTACTGACAAAGTAATCCTTCTGCCTGTCCCTGTCCTACAAGTGTATTAAACGGTAGCAAAGTAGCATGACCCACTCACCTGCACTGATAATAAGGAGGGGACCCCCGCTGTTTGCTTTCATAGTGGCTTCTCCGCTTTCTCTAGTCTTTTCTTCAAATTGTCAAGAATGCAGGTATTAATGAAAGTGCTATCCAATGCTGAAAGTAAGAAAGTAAGAAAAAGGTAATTGCCTCCTAGTTGTAGTTTGCACTGTGTCTCAATTTCCGCCCTAGATTTTTTCCACTCCCTCTTCCTTATATCCTTTCACTCTTTGTAACAAGAATTGCAGGTTGTGTCACAGTAGATTTGTTTTCATATCTTCCATTCTCTTGCTGAATGGCCAAGGAAACAATGCCTTTCTAAGTTGCTCTGCCTTCTCCTAGTTAAACAAGCCACTCTTACAAATTTCTTTTGGTAAACAAAAGAACATGCAGAAAAGAACCAGTGGTATTTAGGGCAGGGTTTTACGAAGTGTGAAGTATATTTTTCTTGTGGACGTGCAGAGTCCAGAAAGGGTGAAGAAAATTTCAGGTGTCCATTGTTATAATAAATCCATATTTCTCAACATTTCATTGTATTGTTTTCATTGTTCACTTGTGTTTTGATTTTTGGATTTTTTGATCATACATTAAGATACACTTAAGGGAGGTGTGAGGCAAAAAGTTTAGGAAACCCTGGTTTAGTGGTTAACATGTTGGACAAGGATTGTGGAAACTCAGGATTACATCCACAAAAAGTCCCAGGATATTGTCTTATATCAGCCCAATCTACCTTATAGGATTGTTGTTATAAGAAAAAATGAAGACAGATCTCTGTTTAGGATGTCTTGAATTTTTAGGATATATCAGAAGCAGGATAATATTGAACAAATGAATAAATAAAATAGCAATAGGCCAGATTTTTCAAGCAGCGAAGTAAATGTGCTAGTACAGATACCACAAAAGGAACAATTACAGTAAGGCAACACTCTGGGTTATGGCATGTCCATGGAGATTCTCATCCATCCAGTCATGGATGTCCCAAAAGTACTTTTCCAAAAGGCAATTGGATTTTCTTTTCTTTTTTTCCTTGAAAATGTTTCATTTCTCATCCAAGAAGCGTCTTCTCAGAATTGAAGAAGTGTCTTTGATAAAAAGTCTTGTTGCCTTTTGGAAAAGCACCTTTGGGACTCTGATACTGCATATTTATGTTTTACTGGTATTGATTCAAAGGTAGTCATTACGTCATTAAAGAAATAAAAACACTTCATACTAGGCATTATCTGTAGAATTGGTATCTAATTTATTTCTTCCTCTTGTGAAATGCTACAATATTCCATTTATTCAATATTGTTGCTACATTCCATGTTGTTAAAACTTCCAACTTTCTCCACCCATTATGCTGGAATTTGTTGTGTATCCAGAAAAAAAATATTATGCACTATACAATCTATATTGTCTGCATGTTTTTTTGAAATTTATAAAATTCCATTTGCCATTTTATACATTTGTATCAAGCACAGAATACGAATGTGTAAGGATCTATTCAAATTTAATGGATATTTCGTTTTAACCAACCTCTTTTCTTTCCTACTAATCTCTGAAACTGTGGGTCTAGTATTCTGTATTCCTCACTGCTTTGGAGATATTATTATAATATCAGATCTCCATTCTTTATGTTATGTTATGTAAAGATTAACCAACCAATCTATTTTAGACCAGGGTTTCGCACACTTTAGTGCAAAGATCGTCACTGCTTTGTAGTAACTAAAAATACTTATGTCTCTCACCTCTCTTTTCAGCATTTCTCTCTTCCTCTTTTCCTTCCCCACAACCTCAAAAATAGCTGTGTGTACATGTCACACTCCTCCTTGCTTCGGGTAATGTTTCATGTATCTCATTATGTGGGTGCAGTTCAGGAACCAACTGCAATAATCAATCGTTAATCTTTAAAGTGTCATAAGATTTTTGCTTATTTTCCCCAATTCAACTTCTCATTTTCTTTTGAGGCTTGCCTTTCCTGTAATTAAAAATTATATTAAAAATAAGAGGAACGAGCAGATGGGAATGGAGATATTTAAACAGAGAATAATTTTAGTTCCTGATCCTCAAAGGGACACATGTAAACAGACATAAGAATATAAAAATAATAAAATTATTGTTTTGGCCATCAAACTTTGGAACTGTTTTGCAGATTTTTATTCCTTGATTTGAAAGGATAGGGTTAAAAGCCCAGGCACGGCATTTCTCCTGATTATTACCCAACAGCCAGCCAGTGCCTAGAGATGTTATATTTAGAAGGCTGATAAAGTTTGAAGCTGACAGTTGTCCTGTCCCTTTGCAAAAAAAATCACTGAGAAGGAAAGAAGGCAACTGCCTGGATCCTACCTTTTTGATTAGTTTCCTATTTATTTATTTTTAAGTTTGTGCCTGACCGCTCAACAAAGATAATTTTATCACCAAGGGATACACATGTTCACAGCATAAACGGTAAGATGTTTTGAGCTTGTCATAATTCCTCAGGTCAGACTTGTTAGATCACAGCAAAGTAGCAATAACAACCCACCCTTGCTTGTGGCGGCCTGACTGCATTCCTGACATTTCAGAAAAGCTGCAAGGGGTGAAAATGAGAACTGCAGAAGAAGGAAATAAGGATCATAGCTTCGGGGATTAGAGTGGGAAAGCTAATTCTATAAGGGCTACAGAATCCAGAGTAAGGGACCTGTTGAAATAACACTGGATTCATAATGTTCCTTTAAAGTCAGAACATGATCCGGGACATCCATTTCAGCCTGGGAAAGTGGCAGAGAATTCAAAATGGAAATATTTTTTAAAAAATGCTCTCTTTTAGGTGACAGTCTTAACTGGAAATAGATTCCAATAAACTCAGTAGAATATATTTCTGAGAAGACACACAGAAATTTCCAAAGCATGTTTGTATTTTAATAGTGTTGGAGAAAAATCTGTAAAGAGAGAATTACTAGTCTTAAATGTTTTGTTTTGCTTCTCAAGAAATTTGTTTTGCCTCCTTAAGCAATACTTCACAGTACTTCAGTCTCCAAACACTTGATCTTGGGTTTGCAAAACCAGGCCAAGCATATTTGGAAGGTTCAGTAACATTCCATGGGCAAAACCCCAATATATAGGAAACAGTGTTAATAATTAAACAATAAGATACAAGATTATAAATGTTTATAATATACATATGTTCATAATTTATAAATATGTTTAATTTGTGAAATATTATAAATTACTAATTTACATATTAATTATAAAAAGACAAAATTTTGAACTAGACTCAACTTGCCATGTTGAGTGTGCTAAATGGACCTGCTAAATGTGAAACTACAACTATAGATAGCTGTAGCTACAACTATAGATAGCTGTAGCTAACTTCCTCTTGAAGCCAAATGCAACATATAAACTATTAAAATGTACCTATGTGTTTTTAATGCTTGCTTCTATTTGCTTAAAACATGACTTAATATTCAAATAGTTTTCATTCTCCCACAAAAGGTTTCAAATATTATTTTTTTAAAGAAAGGGTTTGGGTTTTGAAAATCTATTTATTATAACACGATATTTTTCTATTTATATGAATACCTAATAGCATGCACCCAATCATTTGGTAAGAAATGAATAGACTTTTGCATTGGATAAGGTGATCATGAAGAATCTCATTTCCTTGCATAGTTACAAAAAATTCCTCTGACTGAATTCCATGGTTTAATTCTTCAGAATTTAGAGTTTGATCTTTATTTATTTTTATTTTATTTATTTATTTTTGTCAATTGCTTACAAGATAATAGGTATAAGTAAAATCATAGTTATGAATACATGGATACATATAAGAAAAATAAAAAAATAAAAGAAACAATAGGACAGGGACGGTAGACACCTTGGTGCACTTATGCACGCCCCTACAGACCTCTTAGGAAAGGGGTGAGGTCAATAGTAGACAGTCTAAAGTTAAAGTTTTTGAGGTTTGGGGAAGAAACCACAGAGTCAGGTAGAGTATTCCAGACATTGACCATTCTGTTGCTGAAGTCGTATTTCCTGCAATCAAGTTTGGTGCGATTAAGCTTGAGTTTGTATCTATTGTTTGCTCTTATGTTGTTATGCTTGAAGCTGAAGTATTGACAGGTAGGACATTGCAATGTATGATTTTATATACTATACTTAGATCGGATCAAAGGCGGCATAGTTCTAGGTTTTCTAGGTCTAGAATTTCAAGTCTGGTGACATAAGGTATTCTGCAATGAGCAGAGGAGTGGAGAATTCTTCTTATGAAATGTTTCTGAACTTTCTCAACTGTGTTAATATCAGATACATAATGTGGGTTCCAGACTGATGAGCTGTATTCGAGTATTCATCTAGCAAATGTTTTGTATGCTCTAGTTAGTAGTGTAATATTACCAGAGAAAAAGGTACGAAAAAGCTAAGATTAAGTTAACAACTCTTAACGCCTTTTTGGCTATGTAGTTATAGTGGGCTCTAGTACTTAGATCATTAGAGATGAGTACTCCAAGATCCGTGACAGAGTTTGGATCATCAGCAAGGTCTTGACTATTCAGCCTGTATTTTATTTTCTGATATTTTTTTTGCCAATATGTAGGACAGAGCATTGATTTGGTGAAATTTGAAGTTGCCATTTGTTTGACCATTCTGATACATAGTCAAGGTCTTTTTGAAGAGTAGCAGTATTGTCTGTGGTGTTGAATAGCTTTACATCTTGGTTGTTCGAAATGCTTTATTACAGAAAGTAGTGTGTGTGTGTATCCCCTCTTTCTAAAATATATAGTGTACTTTGTATGACTCAGCTGATGAAAATCCTTATCGAGTTCTATGATTTAACTGATTTTGATCTGCCAATCCTTTTCTTCCCAATTTCAGCTGGTTTCTACAACAGTGATGGCAAGCAGTATGGATCCAGACAGGGACCAGGCAGTGCCTGATGGAGAAGAACCTAATGTGAAGGCAGTGCAAGCTCACTATCTTCGAAGCCCTTCGCCTAGCCGGTGAATGTTTCACAAAATAAGTCTCAATATACCTCCCCTTGTGTAGAACAAATTGCAATTTTTTTCATTTCTCTCTCTCTTTTTACATTCACCCAGCACATTATCAAAATCCTTACCAAGAACAAGGCCTAGGGAGTTCTTTCTTCTTTCAGAATCCACGATTGAGAGCACAAGCATTATTTTGCTAATTTAATTGTTTCAACAGAGGTTTTGTACAAACACTGAGGATTCTTGGGAAAAGCGCTGCTGACATCCATGAGGCAGGAGCAGAAGCCCACCCAAGCTGCTGTTTTTGCATCTATCTTTCTATAGTACTGATTGGTTTGGATGCTACTGTTCAATTCTACTTTTGGCACAGACTTGGAATTTGAGGGTAGTGAGTGAAATGGAAGGAGGTCTAGTTAAAAGGGGTGATATATTTACAATTGGTTTGTTTTAGCCTGCAGTATGACCTTTTTCATCACCAATCTGCCTATCCTTCCCATTAAAAAAAAAAAAAAACTTGGTGAAGATTCAGCTGAGAGTGGGAACAGCCAGTGCTGCAGTTGAATGGTGTTGGAGATCAAAGCTCTAAGCCGAATAGAGCTTGCCTGAAGGGGCTATTTCTACAATCCTCTCCCTCTCTCTGTGTTGCAAAACTGGAGTAAAACAGGAAGTAATTTCCAGTCCTGAGAGCACACTAAACAAGAGTTCCACTGGAGGCTATAAGAAAGGAAATAAAGTAATTACAGTAGTACTGAAAAACAGAAATATACCATCAACATCCAGAATTTCAAAAATGCAATTTGAAATTTGAAATTTCCTTCTTGGACTTTTAGATAAAAAGGAACCTAATATGAAAATCTGAGATGGAGCAAGCTTCCAACTGTCTAACAAAGGAAACTGAAGGGCAAATATTTGTCAGTCCTCTTTTCTTGCTTTTTCAATGGCCAATCCCTTCATGTTGCAGCCCTCTAATATTTTGTACATTTCAACTCAAGTCCATATGGACTTCCCCCTTGTCCTAGCCAACTTAGCTGCTATTAGCTTGAAAACTGGCATACATAAACTGCTTCATGACCAGTTGCCATAAAAACCCTTTTTGATTAATGCAGCTATGTTTGCAAGATTCAGAAACTTAGAGACCCTCTAGTGGATAGAAAAGAAATACATTTTTCTACTAAAAAGGGGGCTGTGGCAAACACTCAATGGATTCTTGTGGACTTCCACATTGTTTTCCATTAGAAAGGCATTCTGGGCAATAATTCTGCAATCAAATGGAGACAGCAAGGCATAATTTCACCTTACCTGCCCCTGGCTTCTTTTCAAAGAATTTAGGTGGCCAATTCCATCTCCTACAAGTTTTTAAAACATATTCTTCACATAATACCTATAATATCACAGTACCTGTTCCTCAGATGTCTGGGCATAAAGTTAGACTGGTCCTGTTATTGATGTGGGGTTTTTTTATTAGACGGTCTCATTTATTGAATGCCACAGGTTATTGCTTTAATCTTTGAATTTTAATTTCTGTACACTGCCCTGAGCCACTATTATGACATGGGCAGCGAAATAAATTACTTGAGTGAATAAATTATAGTTTTGACTGTCTACAGTCTATTACTGCTCCCATCTTATAAAGGAGAAAACCAAAATGAAGACTGACATTGTGAAGTGGGGTTTTCTTTCTTTAATGAATATGTGGTTACAAATATGTTTCCATACTGCCAAGTCAATACACAGTAGGAAGCAATATCACCTCTTTTTTGTAAAAATAATTTTATGTTGAGGTTGCTCATATTAGCATATTTGAGGAGAAGGAAACATAGATTAGAATGAAATCTTTACAGAAAAATGTCAGCTATCTGTAAGTTATTACTCATTATGAAGCAACTCTGCAAACAGAGACCCTCAGGAAACATCTTGTATAATTTATTGTATAATTTATCTCTTCTAAGTTGCTTTGTTTTCAAAAAGTAGACAAAAGCTATAATAGAATAGAAGTTGCCAATGCTTGCTTTTATGGCATTTTCATTACCTGACAGGTTTTCAGTGCTATCAGATGCAGAGACTGAGAGCATCTTCATGGAACCCATCCATCTATCATCTGCTGTGGCTGCTAAACAGATCATCAAGGAAGGTATGATCTGAAGAGAAGATTAATCAAATTATATGAGCATGAAGAAATTGGTATGTTCATAAATTGGCTGGCACCAGGAAGGAGAAAAGGACTGAAAATTGTGCTACTTTTCAGTTCAATTCAGGAATTCTGGAATATCCATAGGACCTTCATAAAACATATTTCTAATATATTACAATGCTTCTGTTCTAAAGCCGTCAGGAATTCCCATCCTTTTTAAATACACTTTCTATTCAGATTCCAGATCATACCAACCCTGATTTTTTTCATTTAAATTTTTCTGTCTTTATTTTCCATCTTATTTGAGATTAGCATTTTGGTGGTTTAAAGAAAGTCAAAATGAATTGCACCATCATATGTTTGCTGCAGATGACAAAAAATATTGTTTGGAAAGCTACTTCATCTTTAATTCAAATTTATTTTGCCTGTGCTTTCTCATCTGCAGAATTATAGATTCACTGTTTCTTGATTATTCAATTATTTTTTCCAAGGGAAGATTAATTACTATTTTTTTCTCATTTTTTATCAAAAATTATGTTGTTTGTAACTTTTTAAAAGAAAAAGAACAAGGATTAATAACTTTCCAGGGGTTAGTACAGAAGCCTACCCTAGCCCATGGACCCCAAGAAATACCAAGCTTGCCTTTTGGTCATACACCCACATTTATAAGTTTTCAAAAATATGATTGTGTTGATGTCCAGGGGGATGGGGAGGTGGAGGTTAATTCCATAGGTGCAAAATGTAGTTCTAACACATATACTTTGTACTTTTAATTCACCTACCTGAAATTTACTTCTCTGAAGCCCTGAAAATCCAAAGCAAATTTTTACAATAAATTGTAAATAGCAATGAGCTAGTAATTAAGAAGCAACAACTAATTACAGAGAAATGTGATTAAACAAGACACATTTTGAGTTAATCCATATAGAAAATTATTTGCCTTGGGTACAGGTATTGCATGGCTCTATAATTATATGCCATGTCAATTTCCCATTTTAATTCTGACTTCCTGGAAGCAGAGCAATTGTTCCCTTTTATAATGGAAAGACATTACTTTCTATTTTGAATAGGGTACTTTCCCTACAAGCTAGTGTATATGTGTGTGTGCGCGTGTATTTTCAATCCTTTTAATACTGGAATGAGACTACATAGTGAAATATTATGATAAAATAGCTTGCTAGTTCTTTTGTCCATCAACACTGTGATTATAATTCAGGGCAAGTGAGTAGATAGCTAATAGTCATGTCAATTTCTATAGTCAGTGGTAAACAATTTTTTTTGTAGTTTTGAAAATGAAAATCTGGGTTCATTGCAGAGCTGAAGACAAAAGAAGTAAAAGTAGACGCTGTATGTCCAGGGATGCTGGAATCTGCAGAGCAGTTGCTAATGGAAGATCTCTATAACCGAGTTAAGGAAAAGATAGATGATACTAGCCTGTTCAACACACCATGTGTTATGGACATACAGAGAGCACTTATGAAAGACTATCTGGAATCACCAAGGGAAGCCATTGATGAGGTCTGGCCAAATATCTTCTTAGCAGAAAAGTGAGTACAAAGATGTTTTTGTCTGAATAAGATTCTCAGAGGATGGCTTCCTCAGTCTGTGTTATAGAAAATGACCAGTATTGTTAGATTAGTAATTAAACACATTAAATTGCAATCTGTCCATCTCAAGAAAAACCTAGAGAAATTACACAATAGAAATTAAAAGTTACATTCAAAAGGTACACATGACAAGTTCCTTTCAAAAACACAGTACATAAATGGGGATTCCTGGTGTAATTACATTCCTTTCCCATAATAGTGAGGACAGTAAAAATAACTCATGAGACCAATACAAAAGGCTACAGCCTTCTGAATATACTGTTTTTTCCTAATATATATGAGTCTGACTACTCTTCAGGTTCTGCAGGAAGGCTCTTTTCATATCTTGATGTCAGTAATAAGCCTGGTCTGTAGGAAAGGGCCTTTTCTGCACTACCTGAGTAGTGGAAATCTCTGCCTCAAGAGATCCACCCAGTCTCATGAATTTGTGCTGCCTCAAAACAACATTTTGGGGTTGTTGTTTTTACCCATTTTACCCTAAAAACTTTAGGCCTCCCCATTAAATGAACTCTCAGTACATTCACCTCTTGTTTTTTTTAACAACACGTTTTTTTTTTACCACAGACCATTCAAAGTTATAATGGCACTGAAAAAAGTGACTTATGACCATGTTTCAGATGGTCACTGACACCCCTTGTAGCATCCCCATGGTCACATTATCAAACTTCAGATGCTTAGCAACTGATTCATATTCATGATGGTTGCAGGGGCTCAGGGTCATGTGATCACTTTTTGCAATCTTTTGACCAAGCAAAGTCACTTAACAACCATGTTACTATAACAACTAGCAGTGATTCACTTAACAACTGTGGCAAGAAAAGTCATAAAATGGGCAACAGTCACTTAACTGCCTTTTAAGCAACAGAAATGTTGGGCCCAATTGTGGTTGTAAGTTGAGGAATATCTGTATTTCTTTCTCTATTCTGTTCCTTTTTTATGTAAATGGATGTTTTAATAACCACGAGTGTTACGTCAACAATAAAAGGCAGCATGCAAGGAAACAAATAAGCTAAAACCTGTCATTAAAATGGCATAAAATGCAATCTAAGACAGTTCCCACAGTCCTATATTTGTTATAAATGATTTCTTTGTGAACTTTGTGAAACTATGGCAAAAAATTATGACTGACATGAACTTACTATATCGATTCATCATCAGATGCTAACAGACTCAACCAATTTTCTCTTGGATACTGTTTGGTACAGATTCATTTTCAGTTGGAATCTGGAATCTAATGTCTTTTCTCTTTGCATTGAAGGAGTGCTGCAGTAAATAAAGGACGGCTAAAGAGGCTAGGAATTACTCACATCCTGAATGCTGCTCATGGCACTGGTGTATATACAGGACCAGATTTTTATAATGGAATGAATATTCAGTACTTGGGCATTGAGGTGGATGATTTTCCAGATGAGGAGATCGCGAAACATTTCCGTCCTGCAGCAGAGTTTCTTGATGAAGCATTATTAACCTGCAGAGGTAAATAAAGCATACAATATTAGTTTACATGGCCAGGGCCTTTCTCCATTGCTGAATTGAAGGGATTCATCCGTTGACTCAACAGAAAATTGTACCAGTGTGAGTGTCTGTCTCTGTTACCTAAGCCACTGCAGTCTTCTGGTTCTTCTCTGAGGTAATTGATCACAAAGCCTAGTGGTTTTTATATGCCAGATATGACCTTGAACAGCATCAAAATAATAGGAAAAATACTTCCATCATAGGTAAGGACAATTCAAACCTGTTTGATTCATGGGCTGAAGATGGAAAATCAGAGATATATATAGCAAAAAAGTGATGTTGCCAGGATATCCTTATGCTGTTTTGAGCTAGAAATGGAGGCAGACCCGTCATGCATGGATTCATTATGATTTCAGAAATGACTTTTATGAACTTCCATAGTTACAATGCAACTTCTTTTTTTAAAAAAAATTTATACGTGTTTTTATCTTTTTTTAAATAATTACTATGTGGTTACAAGCAGATCTAAAACTAGTACATTTGTCATTCAACTTTGTCAATGATCGGGCCATTTGTGAGTATCCATAATATTTAGAGCTTGACTTTCATTTCCTTTTATTGCTGGCTTATAAATTGTGAAGTTATATTGATTCCTTAATGCTATTGTGTTTATTTTTTTTCGTTTAGCAAAATAATATATAAAATAAAAGCATTGTGGTAGGGAGAATGCATTATCTTTTTAGCTTATTTTATCAAATTCCTAGCTTTAGATATTTGTATCATGATGCCTAGCACTGGCAGATTATTTTTTATTAGCTCAAAATATACTAAACATGCAGCAATACTGTAATATGGTTCTGAAATTATTATTCATATAATTTTACTTCTAGGAAAAGTTCTGGTGAGCAGTGAAATGGGAGTCAGTCGCTCAGCGGTGCTAGTATCTGCTTATCTAATGATCTTCCATCATATGACAATATTAGAAGCTTTACTGACTATCCGTAAGAAGAGAGCTATTTATCCTAATGATGGCTTTCTGAAACAGCTCCGAGAACTCAATGAAAAGCTACTGGCGGAACGGGAAGAGGAAGAAGATTCTGAAGATACAACAGATGGCCAAAGTTCTGTTATACGAGCTGGAAGTTGTTCCTTACTATCTGAGACAGAAGATTCTAAGAGTATTGTGGGAGCCAAAGTCCACTCTATCATGGTAGAGGAAGAAGACACAACAAGTCTCCTGGGAAGTGCAATGACTGCCTCTTCTGTGGGAAAGTTGAGTCAGTTTTCCAAGGAGCCTACTCTTATCAGTGAAGAGGAAGAGGAAGAACTCTATGAAGAATGGAGAAGAAAACAAGGCTTGCCCGCCAAGGAAATTTTAAAGAAAAATGCAGAAAGTAAGCCCTCAGACGTATCATTTCAAGGACAAGTAGAATCTGAGGAAAATGTAGATCAAATGATTCAAGCATGGCAATGCCAAAATGAGAAGTACCAAATGGAAAGCTACATGTTTTCCAAGGAAGGGGAGTCTAACATGGGACAAAAATCATGCCTCGTAAATGATACAAGTGATACTGAAAGTGTGAGTAGCCAAGAAATCAGGATCTTGAAACAAGAGCTGGAAGCAAGTAGCATCAACAGAATGAGAAGAGGGCGTACAGATTCGATGTCAACAGAAAGTAGCTGGGATATGTGGAATGAGAGGATGATGGAGATAGAAAAAGAAGCCTCTAAGAAATATTGCTCAAGAGGTAGATATACTAATGAGAATCTAAGATCTGAAAATGGAACAGGGGAAAGGGATATAGATACAGAAAGTGTACTAACTGGAACAGGGGAAAGGGATATAGATACAGAAAGTGTACTAACTGATACTAGTTCATTTTATAATTTCTGCCAAAAAAACAAAGACAAGTTGACAGCCTTAGAAAGATGGAAGATTAAAAGAATCCAGTTTGGTTTTCATAAAAAAGATTCAGAAGTTGAGCAATCCAAGGCTGAAGACAGTAGCCAACAAAATAAAGAATCTATGGAAGAAGAGAAGAGCTTGTCAGATATCAATATGACTGCCTACCAAGCCTGGAAAACTAAGCACCAGAAGAAATTTGGTAGTGAAAATAAGGATGATATTGTAGAGCTTACCAAAGGTGAGAACTCCACTTGTGCCAGGAGAAAACAGAGACGAATGGAGTTACTTGAACACTCAAAGAAGGTTTTGGAGGAAAGCCAGTCTCTCTGTAGCTGGGAGGCAGAAACTTCCATGAGTGGAAGCATCCCTTTGTCAGCTTTTTGGCCATCAACAGCTTCTGTAAATGGGATAGAGGATTCAGCTTCAGCAATAAGCATGCAGACCAATCGCTCATCTTTTTCTCAGGCTAAAAGCAGTCATGGGGGTAAGTCAGCAAGTGTGCCTGGCCCATCCATTGGCCCTGATGAAACAATATCAATAGCCAGCATTCAAAATTGGATTGCCAATGTTGTTAATGAAACTATCGCTCAGAAACAAAATGAAATCCTTATGTTGTCTCGTTCACCATCTGTATTGTCTTCCAGTGTTAAGTCAGGTGATCCAAATAGACATGCAGAAAATGACAGGTCATCTCTGCTTAAAGCACAAACTGGTTTACCTCTATCTAGTTCTACTTCACTGCTTAATCAAAACCCTCAGTATGCTGACACTCAATCCATCCTATCTTGTAACACTTCAGTCAGTATGGAAGACTCTGTCTCAACTAGAAAAGTAACTCAGACAAGTAAACCTCTTTTCAGCCTTTTTGCTGATGAGGTAGATCTGAAGAAACTTAGCAGAAAGGAAAGGGAGATGCAAACAGAAATGAGAGAGAAGATTTCAGATTACCAAACTGAGAAACTTATTAATGAGAATAAACGTAGCACATTATTTAAGAAGAAAAAGATCAAGGGAAATGATGAAGATGAAAAAAGAGAAAATCTATATGACAGAAGTATAGAAAATGTAAATGGTGGCCCTAGGCATCCATCAACAGATGATAATAATTCCAGTGACACAGTTTCTGCTCTCTCAGGCCAATTTGCTAATGTTGGGGGTGTTATAAAGTCAGAAGTAGAAAGCAATGTAAACAAGTGGCTCAGAGGTTTGAAAGCAGAAGAAAAGTCCTCTTATAAGGACTTCACTGAGGGCAGTAGTGAGAAATATAAGAACTCATCCACTTTCAGAAAGGTGGACACTGAAGCTTCTAGTTATAGAAGTTCCAGATCTCAGAGAGAAGAAATGAATAGTTCTGCAACCCATCAGTATCAGAACAAACTGCAAAGAACCTCTTCCCAATTTTCCTCTGCCTCTGCTCAAGAATCAGAATCAAAAATGAGTGAGATAAATTCTGCAGAAGGAAGTCCAGAGCCGTGTTTTTCTAGAACTCCAAAATCCCCCTATACCTCAGAATTCTCCAAACCTTTGACCAGATTGTATCACTTGGAAGAACACGAAGAGGAGTCCAGATTAGACATGACTGAATCTGGAGCAAAGAGAAAATTCACCCAGAGTTTTGCAAAGTCTGAAGATGGTACAGAAAAAGAAGAAAATATGGAAGAAAGCAAAGAGTATATCACATCAAAACATTTAATAAGAAACAGACAAAGCACTCATAAGAAGGAGGAAGAAATGGATGATGATGCCATCATTGCTGCCTGGAGAAGTCGACAAGCAGAAACTAAAGCAAAGCTTCAGCGACAGAAAGGAGTAATGAAGAGTTAAGTCATGCCAGTCCATTTCTACCTTACTTTTGGAGGAAACCTTCTAAGTATTTGTAAGCAACCAAGGTTTAAATAGTATACTTTAATCACTTTATTTATATTTGTTATTCACCTTTCCACTAAATAGTAGATCAAGCACTATTTAGGCCTGGATTTTCATTCAGTTCGATCATTGTGGGAATAATCTGTAATCTCAACTTCTAATATTCTTTTCTTTCTAATTACAAAACTACATAGCTATTGCTTGTCTCTTGGGTGTATCTATATAGAAAATACTAAGGGTGTAAATGTAATGTTTGTTTTCATGACAATTTGGAACAAAATATCACTTTTCAGCCACATGGGAAGACCTGGTCTAAAGATTTTAATTTTGTTTTCAAAGACAATTTCAGAAATAAAATTTACCTTTCAAACCAAACGGAAAAATCAACTTATAAAATGCATGCAATAGCAGCATATCCTTTTTAAGCGTCAATGCATCCAATCTCTGTTTTGGATTGGGCACAATGCCTAGAGTTGAGTTCCTATGCTTAAGTATTTTAATAAAAGATGTCTCAAGATATCTGTTTGCATATTATGATAAGTTCCAGGAGAGTTTCCCTACAGATTCTTGTCCAGGACAGACCTAATAACAACAGCAAATTTTTATAACAGCTCCTTTGTTCTGGCCATCAGAGGGACCCAGGTTACTTATTTTTCTTACCAAAATTTCATTTGACCCAGACAATTGGTAGTTTGGAGTGTGTAATTGGGGGAGAGGGATTTCCAGTCTTTGTCAGTGCTTCATCTAATTTTTCACATAAATATCTATCCCCACTAAATTGGGGTTGTCAGGTATCCAGCTAAAAGAAGAAATTTCCTCTTTTTTTACCTCATGCCCTCTGTCTGGCAGTCATAGCCTTAAAATCAGATACTGCCCAATTTTTTTGAATATCTCTTCCTGAGCAGCTTTTCTCTAATAAGTGATAAGCATGAGTTAAGCTCTGCTCCATGACCTTTATTAGTTGATTATACTCTCTGGCTTTACTCTGCTGCCTAAAATGCTGCCTGAAATCAAAAAGAGTTTAATTTTTTACACATTGCCTTCTAAGTGCTCTACCACTGTCAGCCTCGTGAATAAAAATAAGCTGGAGCTGCCATACTTAAAAACGATGTAGGCACATAGGCATGGTGGCTAGCAGGAATCTTGTCTAAAAGATCTCTTCAGGAAATAGATAAGAAGGAACTAAGTCATTAAGAAAACAAAGGAAACATGTCCCCTAAACCAGACAAAAGAAGTTAGGCCAGAGCACATTGGGAACCCCTCCCCAAATCCCATCAACAACTACCAGACATGTAAATCAACAAGGATAGACTAGCTTGTGAATCAACAAAGCAAGGACTTTGGGGGATAAAAGGAATCACACACACACACACACACACACACACACACACACACACTGCAACTAGTAAAATTTTGCTGTTATTTCAAATTCACTGGGTCTCATGTACTCTAAAGAACTGTTTGTGCTTCAGTATTTGGTTGAAAGTTATTTGAGTGTGGCTATTTTCAGGACTATGAGTGTGTGGATGAATAATCAAATGCCGAACCTGGAAGCACACATATAACAAAGGCCAAATAAGATGCACTCCCAGAGGAACTAATTCTATTGTAAGATTGTAATGTATCCTATGTAAGGTACACTAACAGAATTTTCAAGTCTGAAAGTACACTTCTCTCCTGCTGCCTTTACAGCCCAAGAAACTAGGGAGGGTCCCTTCTGAGATGTTTGCTATCTCCACATTCTTTCTGTAAACTAAGCTGTCTCTTGCCCAACGGTTCCCTTGGCTATGGCTCTTCCCCCTGTCTCCAAAGATCATTCCCACATACTATTGCAAGCACATTCCTGTGAATGAAAAAGATAATCTTTATGATGCTGAAGAAAATAATTATCAAATAATCCAGTCAAGAAGCCCAACAATGAATAGCAATATTAGCTTTTTGTGAATGATGGCAAATATGTATGTCCCAGGATAATATTGCAGGATCCAGTCTGAGTCAGTAGCAGTGGTGAAATTCATTTTTTTTTTACTATCGGTTATGTGGGCGTGGCTTGGTGGACGTGGCAGGGGAAAGATACTATAAAATCTCCAGTCAGAAGTGGTATTTGCCGGTTCTCTGAATTACTCAAAATTTCTGCTACCGGCTCTCCAGAACTGGCCAGAACCTGCTGAGTACCACCTCTGGTCAGTAGCCAGACTTGTGCTGGAGTCCATCCACAGGGAACATCCTGGAGATTGAGAAGTTCCCTGAAGATGGGCTCCAACACAAACCTGAAAGCTTGGAAGAACCTTTGGTCTCGATGACTGACTCAGATTGGATCCTGCAGTGTTATCTTTATTATAAAGTTTAATTAACAGATTCTTGCAAGACTGAAAGTATTGCTCCCCTTCTTTCTTCTCTGGAAAACTAGGGATGGTTCCTTCTGAAATGTTTCCCATACCATTTTCCCCTTTTGTGGGTTGAAACATCTTTTACATGATAGTTGCCCAGTCTGCATCTTTTTCTCTGTCTCCAAAGGTCATTCCCACATACCATTACAGTTCAAGAAAGCAGCAAGAGGTTCCATTATAGTAAGAAAAGAGTTTCCTTCCAGGGATGGGATTCAATCTTTTTAACAACCGGTTCTGTGGGAATGGCTTAGTTGGTGGGTGTGGCTTTGTGCTCATGTGACTGGGTGGATGTGGCTTGGTGGTCATGTTATTGGCTGGGCATGGCCAACTCAATATCATCGAGGCACGCATCTCCTCGCCTGGCCTCTCATGACTGTGGGGATGCTGCAACAGTCGTAAGTGCGAAAAATGGTCATAAGTCACTTTTTTCAGTGCCATTGTAACTTTGAATGCTCACTCCACACAAGCAAAGTACCAGCAAAGGAGGGAAAAATAACTCCAGAGACGTTCCTGAGACAGGAAGTCTAGTCCTGCCAAGAATGTAATAAGGGTTAATGGAGAGGCAGTTTCTGTAAGGAATACCAGAATGTTTCCTTCCTGCCTTCCTTACAGGATTAGGCCAGTAATTTCTTCTAAAAACTGGTTCTCTGAACTGCTTAGAATGTTAACAACCGGTTCTAGCAAATAGGTGCAAACTGGTAGAATCCCAGCCCTGGTTCTCTCCTGTTTTATTGAGAACTCTCCTGTGGTGGAATGTAGTCCAGAATCCTTGTCCAGGCCAAATTCTAACCCTCCACATATCTGTCTAAAATCACATCTTTTCTCCTAGCCTATATTAAAGAAAGTGACTGGCAGACATTTGGTAGAAATCCACTGAACACCATTAAACAACTTGCCTCCCAGTCTGACATTGCCTACCAGCCTTGCTAATGAACTGGGCTTGCTACACGGATCAAATTTAAACTGATACCCTTTTATTGGCTCACAGATGGAAGGAGACGACACATTAAACTGATCAGGAAGCAAATTAGATTCTAGAAAGAGTGCAGAGAAAAGCAACAAAGATGAGGGGACTGGATGCTAAAACATAAAAAGAATGGTTGCTGGAATGAGATATGTTTAGTTTAATGAAAAGAAGGACTAGTGGTGACATGATAGCAGTGTTCCAATTATCTCATGGCTTGCCACAAAGAAGACGGAGTCAAGCTATTCTCCAAAGCATCTGAAGGCAGGACAAGAAGTAATGGATGGAAACTAATCAAGGAGGGAAGCAATCTAGAACAAAGGCAAAATTTCCTGATAGTTAGAACAATCAATCAGTGGAACAACTTTTCTCCAGAAGTTGTAAATGCTTCAACACTGGAAGATTTAAAGAAGAGATTGGACAACTATTTGTCTAAAATAGCATAGGGTTTCCTGCCTGAGCAGGGATTGAACTAGAAGATCTCCAAGGTCCCGTCCAACTCTGCTATTCTATTCTATTCTATTCTATTCTATTCTATTCTATTCTATTCTATTCTATTCTATTCTATTCTTATGGTACAATTATTTTGTGGACATGCTAAAATCTTTTTGGTTTCTCATTTGCAGAAATAGTGATATACTGAGCAATGGTTATATAAGACCTCTGACAGCAATAACTACATGTGGTGAAATATGGAACTTCCATATTGTAGGGAACTTGAAATGTCGCATGGCATTCAACCAAACTATCTGGCACAGGTGTCAAGGGGAGAATGTGATGACAGCTGAATCAGTACAGGAATTGATCAACTTGTTTTACTAAAGGCCTAAGATACAGCTGAGTCTCAAATCACCTTCACAGTTCCCAAGTGATGTTCTCAGTTTTTGCCCCCTCCATTCAGTTTAACTGAGGAGTATATCAAATTGCCAATTGCTTTAGAATGAAATGGATATTTAGCTATAGTTATAATTGTGGCAGTCCATCATATTTAATATGAGAATCTTGTTTAAGACAAATGGCCATTTGATTGTTTTAAAAACAGGCAAAGATGATTCAGCCTCATGTGCCCTTCACACGCCGATACTATCCTGTAATCTCTTTGGACTCAGGTCAAAGTCCATCTACTTTCTTGTGTTCAAAGAAAATTCATGATGAGATGGGGCCATAAATACCATGACTAGTTAAAAGGGAAGCTGTTTTCTCCCCCATCTCACAAGACTGCTTCTTGCAAGACAGGCCGAAGGAGGGAGGGTAAACTCTTTGAAGGATTCTTCTTCTGTTCATGTAAATGCATATGAAAGCTATCTTCTAACATCATCTGAATCAGGCTATGCTGTGACAGCTTCCTCTACAGGTTCTGTAAACAAAAAAGGAGGAGGATTAGCAGGTTCATTTTCTCATTCTTAGAAAGCTAGATTGAGGTTTTGAATACTGTCTATGAAATGCAAGTAGCTTCCGTGACACAGAAAACTGGAAAATGCACTCATGGCTCAAACGGATGCAAGATTAGCAATCTCAGATGCAAATTACATTTCTTTTTATCTATGGCAAAGGCTGTGAAGACCTGCCCTATCCCATGGATTTGCCCCAGGCAGGTCCAGAAACAATCAGGTTTCAGAGTACTTATTATTTCTATTAATGAGGACCTCAAGCTAAATCAACTAAACCCTGAAGGTAAGAAGGTAAGAACAAAAAACAAGCAAACAAAAAGTTTTATCACATCTGTATCCTTATAAAAATATTTTCCAAAAAGTGGGACATTAAAATAAGTTTCTTGGTATATTACAAACCAAAACATCAACAAGAGTAGTTTCATTCATATTAATATAGCAGAATTATAGAA